TAAAAAAAAATTAGAGATCATAAAAAAAAGTACTGTTGCACATCAACTTCATCGGATGGAATACAGACGAGTAAGATTGACCTCATCTTTGAAAATAGACAATGGAAAAGCTCAAAATCTGTCAAAATAAGACCAGAGGTTAATTGTTATGTTGATGGACTGTCAGTTAAAATGTTTTAGCTAACAGAACAACCCTGGAGGTGTTCATGAGTCTGTGTCAGTAAATTTGAAAAATACCTACCTGCCTGATTGGATAAAATTCATATTTGCTCCTATTTCAAATTATATCATTAATATCCCATGCAAATAATATCTATCTGAATATAATTTTTAAATGACTGGAACAGTACATTGATAGGAAATAGAAATTCCAGCTGTATTCAGAAGCTATTGTGAAACAAGAGATTTCATATGGATCCTAAGTGAAAGAGAATGCCAAATATTTGTTAATTGATTATGTGAAAGTATTTGAATTTGTGGAGCATAACAAATTATTCGTAACATTGAGAAAAATAGGATTTCCAAAACATTTCATTGTGCTTATATGAAACTTGTACTTAGACCAAGAAGCAGTGTTTGAACAGAACCTTGAGATACTGCATAGTTTAAAATCAAGAAAGGTGTGCATCAGCATTGTATTTTTTCTCCATATCTTTTCAATCTATATGCTAAGAAGAAATTAATGAAGGTGGACTATATGAAGAAAGTTTTAACTTGCTAAGATGGTAAAGTAATGATTTATTTATGTTACCTTTGTGATTTTTCCATAGTGAAATTGCTTATTTTAGAGAGAAGTACATATAAATGAAGTTTTTTCAGTCAAAACTGATTTGCAGTTGAATGTTAAGTATAGAAATTACAGTAAAGAGCTTATTGAAATTTTCAACCAGGAGAACGTGATTGACCTTGGAAAGTTTTAGAATTTTGATGGAGTCAGAAATGAGTTTGCAGTGGGTTATATTAGAAGAGTGAATGAGAGATAGAAAAAAATGGAGACAGTATTAAAAGTATGCTTTCAGTGAGCTGATTAACAGGTAGCATGTGTAAATATATGTGACAGGAAAGTGAGGTGAGTGGGTTTTTTTTTTTTATTTTGGTTGCTTTTATTTGTCTGAAATATTGGGGAGTTTTTATTTTTTAAGTTGCAAGGTACTTGAATGGTTTTGTCGTCAAGAATCCAGATAATTTGACAATCTGCTACTTTTATTTCAGTTAATAATTTCTAATAAGGAGAGATAAGGAAGTTCTTCTAGTGGCCTAGTGGGTAAGGCAGATGGTTCAAATCCACTAGTTGTTCCAGAGGAAAAATATGGGTAGTCTCCCATGCAATTTACAACCACTGCAAACCCTCGATTAAGGCAGTTATAGGTAAATTTTAACTCCATGGCAGTAACTTTCTTACTTTGAGTAAGGAGATACAGTCAGTTCTATGGTTATTGTTGTTGTTATGTGCCGTCGAGTCACTTGCGACTCATAGCGACCCTATGTACAACAGCCCTAAACTCTGACTTGTGCCAGTTGCACCATCTCCGATACACTAACCCATCTTGATTACCCCAGTCACTGACTCAATCCACCTCATAGAGGGCCTCCCCCTCCTGCTCTGTCCCTCCACCCTACCAAGCATGATGTCCCTCTCCAAGGACCGGTCCTTCCTTACAGCATGTCCAAAATATGTTAGACAGAACCTCAGAATCCTTGCCTCCAAGGAGCTGCCCAGTTGGACCCTTTCCAGGATGAATCTGTTTGTTTTTCTAGCAGTCCATGGTACCCTCAA